CTACTGATCTTGTTTATTTTTTATAGGCTGGAGACTGGTTTTTCACTCTCAAAGAATCATTTTCCCAATCGCTCCGTATCGTAATCTAAAAGTGCCAAACATATTTATCAGCAGAATGTTAGGTCCCGTATTAAACGCTATTTACACATAATTTACATATCTACATAAATTACCCACGCGCCGTGAAGTTTTGTCAATTATATTCAATTTTTAAAGCCAATTACCGCTAACCGAATTCATTTGAGTAATATTGGAGGTAAACTGGCACCGATAATTTATTCACATATTTTTTTGTTTTTAATGATTTATTAATATACCTCCAGAAATTTAATCTTACGTTTGGCGGCCAGCTTTAAAGTGGAAAACTCTGAATTATTTTCAAAGAATCGCCATGATATTAAACAGAAGAGATGTAAGAGGCGCAATAGTCATTTTTAAAGTTGTTTGATATTTGAAAAAAGTGCAAAATGGGTGCAGGGGGTTGATGCTTCGCAGATGAAATGTAGCTGCTCTCTGACGATCTTACTCCAACCACACTCCAATCTGCGAAGCAATCAACATTTACATTACAATACTACGCTATTTACATATAATTTACATATCTACATAAATTACCTAATAATTAACCCTACACCCAACTAACCTAACTAACTAGGCCTACACTACTGGATTCGAACCCGCGCTGGTGACCTGATGGGCTGGCCACTGTCCTGGACTTATACTACTATAGAAAATTGGGCCTGATAAATATGACATGGCCCTCATTTTGAAATTTGGCTGAAACACGGCAAAAATTGTAATTCAACGTGCCCATATTGCTGTGCGAAAACAGTCTGACTACTCAAAATACACAATTTCTGAATTAAAAACGAGAAAGAGTTTTTTTCGTTGCGCAATAGTCAAAAATGTTAGCGATGAATAGTCAAAATGTTAACAATGATCGCAAAAATCGGCTGCGGACGAATGGCAAGTACGAATTTGATTTGACGTAATCCGAATGATGTTTTGATTTTTAAGGATCCAGATTATTACAGTCGAATGAAATTTGGCGTCATTGAAAAATGAGCATCACGTTTAAATTTGTGAACAAGGATGCACTCTCACACAATCACGAGAAATCCCGTCGACCGTGGAACGTGACTTTAGAATATAACTGTTGCAACCGTTTCGTCAAATTTTGCCACATTGAAAATTGTCGTCTTACATTTCAGGCATTGGCTATTTAATAAAATCCAAGATTTGTGTGAAATTTTCAGTCCTAACCAAATCTTGCGCCAAAATGTTAACAATAAAATACTTAAAATGTTAACAATGATCGTAAAAATCGGCTACGGACGAATCGCAAGTACGAATTCGATTTGGCGTTATCCGAATGTTGTTTTGATTTTTAGGGATCGAGATTATTGCAGTCGATTGAAATTTGGCGTCATTGAAAATGAGCATTAAGTTGACATTTGTGAACAAGGATGCACTCTCACACAATCACGAGAAATCCCGTCGACCGTGGAACGTGATTTCAGAATATAACTGTTGCGACCGTTTTCGTCAAAATCTGCCACATTGAAAATTGTCGTCTTATATTTCAGGCATTGGCTATTTGATAAAATCCAAGATTTGTGTGAAATTTTCAGTCCTTATTAAACCTCGCGCCAAAATGTTAACAATAAAATACTCAAAATGTTAACAGTGAATGCAAAAATGGGCTACGGACGAATCGCATGTACGAATTTGATTTGACGTAATCCGAATGATGTTTTGATTTTTAAGGATCCAGATTATTACAGTCGAATGAAATTTGGCGTCATTGAAAATGAGCATTACGTTTAAATTTGTGAACAAGGATGCACTCTCACACAATCACGAGAAATCCCGTCGACCGTGGAACGTGATTTTAGAATATAACTGTTGCGACCGTTTCGTCAAATTTTGCCACATTGAAAATTGTCGTCTTACATTTCAGGCATTGGCTATTTAATAAAATCCAAGATTTGTGTGAAATTTTCAGTCCTAACCAAATCTTGCGCCAAAATGTTAACAATAAAATACTTAAAATGTTAACAATGATCGTAAAAATCGCAAGTACGAATTCGATTTGGCGTAATCAAAATGTTGTTTTGATTTTTAAGGATCGAGATTATTGCAGTCGATTGAAATTTGGCGTCATTGAAAATGAGCATTAAGTTGACATTTGTGAACAAGGATGCACTCTCACACAATCACGAGAAATCCCGTCGACCGTGGAACGTGATTTCAGAATATAACTGTTGCGACCGTTTTCGTCAATATCTGCCACATTGAAAATTGTCGTCTTATATTTCAGGCATTGGCTATTTGATAAAATCCAAGATTTGTGTGAAATTTTCAGTCCTAATTAAACCTCACGCCAAAATGTTAACAATAAAATACTCAAAATGTTAACAGTGATTGCAAAAATGGGCTACGGACGAATCGCAAGTACGAATTCAATTTGACGTAATCCGAATGATGTTTAGATTTTTAGGGATCCAGATTATTGCAGTCGATTAAATTTTGGCGTCATTAATAATGAGCAGTAAGTTGACATTTTGTGAACAAGGATGCACTCTCATACAATCACGAGAAATCCCGTCAATGGGAACGTGATTTTATAATATATTGAAGTTGCGAACGTTTTCGTTATAGTTTGCTACATTAAAAATTGTCGTCTTACGTTTCAGGCATTGGATATCTAATAAAATCCAAGGCTTGTGTGAAATTTTCAGTTAGTAACAAAACCTCGCGCCAACACGAAATCTCGGAAAGTAACGCGCTACGCGTAATTTCAAATTGAGGGGCATGCGCATGCGTGCCATTAAATATAGGCCCGAAATTGCCTACGCCGGCTAAATAATATTTTTTGATATGTAGCCGAGCATTTTGTCGGCCATGAACTTGAGGATTTGTAATTCAGGATGCAAGCCCTGAAGGGTGCACTGAACCAATTAAATCCGCAATGAAAACAGTGTCAAATTTACAAAGTTCAGGGCCAAATAACATGCTAGCCGACATCACTGGGGTTTTTCAAACAAATATTCAATCATTGTCTCGTCCTTCATCTTTTTATTTCTTTTCAATTATGGGTAGTCTAGCCAATTACATTTTTAATATTCACACCAAAACAAAATCACCTCCCGAAAAGTGATAGTTCCCAAGCCTGCATGTAGCCATTTTACAAGTGGTATCCTTCCACTTTCTTAGGCAAATAGGACCCCGTTTTCAACCGTAATTTTATCAAGTCTGCCCTCAGATGGAAGCCCCCAAAACCAGGGAGTCGATCCTTGGCCATATTTACACAATTCCACCGTTTCTAAAGCCAAACGGTCTCCGTTTTCAAAAGAAATTGTGGGGGTACCTTTCATGCTAATGAGCTGGCGTATAAATTCTCACTTGAATAAGTTCACTGTACCCTGAACGGGACTACTAAATCGTAGTTCTGTGAAATCTGAAGTCCATCGCCATTTTGAACGATTCCTACGCTCCATTGTCAGTTAGAGCTCTGTTTTGACCCAATTTCTTCCAAATGTCACAGAAATTCAAGCCCACGGTCCTGTGCATGGTTTCCATCCGTCTTCTTTACAAACCCTAAAGTTTATTGCCCACAAAATGCTCCAAAACGGAAGAATTTGAGGGCATGCAAATCGTGATTTGGCCGGCGTAGGCAATTTCGGGCCAGTCCGGACCCTTAATTTAGCCCACGTATAGTACGTTGTTATAAATTTCCGAAAGGTAGGCCTGTATACGAGTTCGAATACACAAATAAAATCTACACCGTTTTGGAGACGAATTGGGTTACTGATTTTCCCTATTGTTTTTCTAGACAGCTACCTCACATTATGTTTCCGTACTACTATTCCAATTTAATAAAACTTCCAGGTTTCTAGTCTTATAATTTTGTAAATCTGACTTTATGTAGCTTCCGCGTGAGCCTACTGCGGTGTATGTTGGCTCCCAGCCGGGCGGTATCATAGAATTTAAAACCTAAGTTTCCTTTTTTTTAGCGCGGCTCTTTTGAGTTTACATATTATGTTGAAGTTTTCATCACCATAAAAACATTAACCTTGCTTCAATGCAGTGGAAGTTTTACTGTACTTTTCTGCACGTATAAAGATGAAGTGATGGTAACTGGATGTTGTTTGTAATATTCCGTTTCCTGCATATGGGCGTCGTCAGGATTATTTCTAGAGGGGGCAAAACATATTTTTTTCCCAAAAATTCCTGTATTTCTCAACATATTCTCGATTTCTCAGTTTAAGAGGGGGCAGGGACATTTTGCCCCCCCCCAAACTCATTAAATTTACACCACTATGACTTCGCGCATCTTTTTTTTTTTTTTGCTCCCCCGTTGGCCCCCTCCCCCCTCGCGACACCCATGGTTATCTGTATTGGAAGTAATAATCCCTTGATTTTATGACCGCAAAATCTTGTCTGGTTTCTTGTTATGTTCCTGGTCGCCATATATTCAGTCAAAAACTTTTTTCAAAAGAAAACGAAGATTCAGGAATGATCGTTTTGGTAAATCACACTAAAAAAAATACTTGATTGTTATGTTAAACAATGGATAACAAAACAAACAAACAAATAAATTAACTTTAAAAAAATAAAGGACGAAAAACAATCGAAGCAGGAAATACAAAAACATGGAGCTTTAACAAAGTTAAAGGTCAGAGTTCGTAACTTATACTTTTCAGCTTTTCATCTTTATTTTTCAACTTAACTACTCCAAATCTGCCCACGATAGTTTATTAAAATAGGCGTTCTTGCGGGACTCATTTGCAAAAAAGTTAGTACCCGTGTTTTTTTTACTTATAACTCATCATCCTGAACTAACTCCCTTACAGCATGGAGGAAGGAATTAATTCCTTCCTCCATGCTTACAGTAAATTCCCCAGTTTCACCCACTTCCTTCCACCTTACACCCCTCCATGTCACCCCGCCCCCGTGTTTTTTCCTTTTCGAAGATTAGACATGAAACGCCCTCTGCACTTTCAGCTGGTGTCCACACGCGCCACTTTGCAATGGAGCTAGCTGTGCGTAGTACCAGCTATTCCCATTGAAAATGGCAGGTCTGATGTGGAGCGAATGGAGGGGGAGTTGCGGTAAGAAAGACATCGGAAATTGTGGGGTTTTTGGGTGGGATTACGAAAGCACTTGGTGATGGCGATCGAGAAGTATTTCGTCTGTTCTAAACCCTCATTCTGGGCTGTGGAATGGGTCGTTTCATGTGATTTGGCGAGTAAACAACACTTGGGTGGCAGTCGTGCGCCGCCACAGGCTGTATTGCCAGCTGTGCTGTGTGTTTTTATGTAGGCCTAGGGGTCTAACGTTATGACATTGACAGCAATTCATGAATGCGGAAGTCTATGTAACTGATGAAGCGAACTTTGAAGCTTCTACTAATTTCCAGCCATGGACTCCCAAGCTGGGACATTAGCTGGCAACATTTGCAACAACCCGCCACATTTACCGCAGTCGGTGCGCGTCACGGCAGGGAACAGCGGCAGCGAATTCAGGGAGGTCTTCATCTCATCGTCGGAGATCACTAACCAGTCCGCAGGCATGGGTGTTGCAGCAGAGCCACCACAATTTACAACGGTTGCCAGGTCCCAGGAACAACAAAATGACGGCCAAAGAGTTAACGGTGTCGGCGAAGGACCGATTTCTAGAACCGCTGTGCGTTGTTCGGGAAACGAGTCCGTTGCAGCCTCAAATGAGACACCTGGCCTGTCAGATGGCCAAAGAATCACAACTAGGATGGAGGATGTTTCACTTGATTCACCGACGACAGTTGAGAATCTTCTGACGAGTGCATCCTCAGACACAACGACGAACAAATCTGACACAACGTCATCATCATCAAGCAATCCTTTACAGGGACCGGTCAAATTATGCAATAGAACTAGTAGCAGTTTAGGTAATTTAGTCATTACAGAAAACAATGGCAACCAAGCCATCCACAGTTCTTGTGATGCAATAGGGAGTGATCTTGCCACGGCCTCACCACAGGATGCAATAAGATTAGAACCAGATTTACTGAGGCAATGCGGCGAACGCATGCCAGGGGATGGACAGGAGCATCCGTCGGACTCGAACCCGAACCAAAGCTGCGGGACGACGAGTATCGCATCTGCTCAGTCCGGGGAGTCTTCTCTGGAACAGCCTGCAGTTTTGGACGTCACCAGTAGCGAGGAGCTCATTCTGAGCGACATCGAGCTGTCTGGGGAGAGTCCCGCGTCCCCTGCAACTATTGACGTCATAAACCTGGGCTCCCAGTCGCCCATTGGGTCCAAGCTGAGGAGACCGAGGTCCCTCGAGGGTTGCCTAGATCTGGATGACAGACCTTCCAAGTGGACAACCCCAAACAAATCCCAGTCTCTCAGAACCACACCCTCAACGAGCACTCCCCGGTTCCTCGAGGAACTGAATGAAGCAGGAACCGCTGTCATTGAACTGCAGGAGCCAACCTTGGAACCATTGCAAGATGGTCAGTCGGACTCCAGAAACCCCCGCCTCTCCGGCATTCTGCAGCATGAGCTCAGGTCGAGGGCGTCCTTCACGAGCGTTTCGAGCCTGAGCACGGACTACTCATCTTCTCTCGCTACCGACGACCTCAGCGAGAACAGAGACAGCCTGGAGCCGGGCTTTGTTGAAGTGAACTTGCACAGTCAGTTGAGTGGAGGGGACCACTGGGCCTACACAACCCAAGGAGCAAAGCCTAAAAAGAAGGGCTTGGCTGGATTCCTAGCAAGGTTAGTCACTCACAACATCACCTTGTCTGAACATATGAGAGCAAGTATGTTGCATCCTAATGCCACCGAGAGTTTGCCATGGAGAGTCCATTGTTTTTAGTTAACGGTCGACAAAACATGGCCCATTTGAATGAGTGTCAGTGGACAACTTGAGCTAATTTTTTTAAGGATTGGGGCATAGCATTCTGTCGCCTTACAAAAAGCAGAATATTGATACAAAGACAAGAAAACTAACAATTTCAATTAGCCTGCTCTGTGAATTTGCCGACCTTCTTCCACAAAGCACTGGGAAAAATGAGCTCTCCGAGGCAAACTCTTGGTGCACACTACATTGTGAATCACCCAAATTGTCACTCAATTTAACCCTTACCCTACTAGACCCTCCAACGCATGCCAATTGTGCCTCAAGAAAATCTCCTATGTTTTTTGCATGGCCCTCCAATACCTGCCATGTCATTTCAAGGGTAACTGGACAGGCACTCCAATACATGCCACAGAGAACAATGAGAGTCCTCTGATAACAATCAAGTGCCCCCAGCTGGTCAGTATCAGGCACCCTCCAGGGCCTCCAACTCCTGCCAATTGGAGCCTTCACTGTTAAGACTTGTTATCTGCCAAATAACTGCAGCTGGAGGGCATTGGCATAACCAACTGACATGCAGTAAACTACCCTCAGAGAGTAAGGGTTAATGAAAAAACAAAGAGGTCTATTCAGATAAGGCCGAGTAAACAAAAACAAATTTGTCCTGACTTTTTCAAAAAATGAGGGAGGCAGCCTCCCCTTCCCCTTTTTTGCACCCTAAGATGGCGGAATTATCAAGATGGCGGATTAATTTGTTTCATTTTCTTGGCTCTTTCGTTGATACAAAATTTTGTCCAAAGGAGGCGCCACCCTTTCTACATGGCTGCAATTTTGTTTGAAGCAAATGACAAGACAATAGGTACATACTAACAAAATTTGCAAAATACTTTGCAAATGTATGAATAAGAAAAAAAGGGGGTAAAAACATGAAACTGGTGAGCAGGAGAAATGAAGTGGGCGGGGGCAAGAAACTGGTTTATTTTTTTACTGGGCCTAAGGCCAAAAAAAAAAATCTCCGGTTTCTGGTATGGAGCTTGCCCAAAAAGTGGTGCGGTGACGCGGCTTTTTTTTTTTTTTTTACCTGTTTTTTTTGCTTCAAATGTCGGCTGATGACTGCAAATGGTGCCCGACTAAACAAATATATGGGAGTCCAGAGAGGCCCCATAAAGCTTATTCTCGACCATAACCCAATCTAAAAACACGTTAAAATTGTGCAGCAGCAGGATTCCAGTCAAACCAGTGAGTTTAGCGGTTTTGAGACATCATCTTTCATTGAAAAAAAAAACTTTTTCATTTTGTCGACGCGCATGGCTACGGCGACGCGCGCGCATACCAGAAACCGGAGACTTTTTTTGGGGGCCTAATGAGACAAAACAATACATATTCTCTCTATCCGATCTTCGCCATTTTTGTTCATTTATTTTGATACTAGTACTTGTGATTCTTTATTGAAAAAAAAGTACCACACAAGTGTTTGAATTATGTACATTTATAAGTAATTTATGCTTGTGGTTCCTGCCTTCGAAAACATAACCTGCAATAGTCAAAGGGCCTACATGTATCGGTACCTACTTGTGAACATGTACATGTAGGCTCATTGGTGTGTGTAAATATACATTTATACAATGTAAAGAATGTAGGTTTAGATTCATCTCCCCATCAAAGGAAATGGATTATCAAGAGCACCACTTCTGCCAATCAGTCACTGTATAGAGCGATCACTTCTCCATCCTGTCATGAGGCACTTTACATCGTACATGTACCATTGTTTAAGTCGTTGGAACTTTAGGGGAATTCCCAGTCCACAATCTGACTTCCTCTGCACTACCGGTAGTTCATGTATACAAGTTTTTGTATGCCTGTTAAAGTTTTAATAACTCCCTCTGAGGCATTCTTGCTAGATAACCTCAATCCTGCAAAATCCTCCAACTGCCTCCATGTAAAAATACAAATTTGTAGCATACAGCCTCAATCCTGCAAAATGCTCTGTTATTTCTTGAATGTGGTCCTTGGAGGGGTGACCACTGCCTGCAAAATTGTGGTCCTTGGAGGGGTGACCATGACTGCTTCAATCCTGCAAAATCCTCTAGCAATCACTGTCAATATGTTGAGGCAGAGCCAGTGACACAGTGAAGCAGAGCAAAGGATTTCAAGAACAATACATGTAGGCCTAAATTTATGCACAACTGAGCGTAAACAACATAGGTCCGGCCCAAGACGTTGACACAGTGCATCCTCCGAAATCAGCCACACATTTTTGTCGTAAAGCCTCAATCCTGCAAATTCCTCCACTTATCTTGGCGGATTTGAGAAGGTTGGGTTAAATGTGGCTGTCAATAAGTGTGTTCAAAATCTGAACTTCTTATTTCCAAGATTTTTGTTTTACATGGTAAATCAGCTTGCTGTACATGTACAATATATGTAAAGGGTTTGAGTTTTATAGTCATACACAATTGCCAATCAATGCATTAGGTGGAAAACCTTTGGAAAAATGTAAAATAACCCCCCCCCCCAGCCCAACCTTTCACAATGCCCATTTCACAATTCACAATGCCCATTTCAGACGTGCCAGAACAGAAGTTTTTGATATTGACACATGGCGTTAATGTATTTGTAATTCCTAGACTATTTACGATCTTCGTTTCCTGGTTTGGGCCCCATGCCTTGCTCGTTACTGCTCCCAGCAGGCTCCGCCGTGACCTGCAGTTGAACCAGAAACAAATAAATAACCAATGTGATTATAGGCTGAATCGCAAGCAAGAAGGTGACGTCAAACAAACATGTACATGTATGGACCCAACTGTACTGTACACAGCGAACACCATCCAATTAATAAGTGAAAGGGGGGGGGGGTGTACATGTACATGTACTACATGTATACATCGTGTACAATTTAGGGTGTTATGATACTTTGTACGTACATGCTTTGTGTTTCATTATAATTTACATCATACATGTACATTACATGTACATGTAGGTAGGGGAAAGATTTCCATATATACGAAGTTCACTAATTTTCCTCTGTATTGACTAACAAGCCCCCAGATAGCAATTTCATGTCATCAAAGTCAATTTGAGCAGTGAGAAAATACAAGCATTTTCTTAGAAAACACTTAGAATTTTTCAGTCCAATCTCATAGGGTTTGTACACAGGGTGTTGAGTGAACTTCGTATATGGAAATCTTTCCTAGGTACATACAAGTGTAGGGCTATAGTTTTAATACTTGGCAGTGAATTTGCTCTTTTCACACTTCCGCCATGGGCATGCAGCGCCTCAATCTGGCAACTTTACACAATAAATATAGCCGGTTCAGTGATTCCCGTGTCGGGTTCAGATCACTGAACCAGCTAGTTTTATTGTGTAAAGTTGCCAGATCGAGGCTGTGCATGCCCAATGGCGGAGCCTGAAAAGAGCGAATTTAACTCACATGTTGTGAAAGACAGACAGAATGAGTTTTTTCAGGCATTATAAGTAGGGCTCGCGCACTCGCTGTTTGCTGCCGGTGATCACTATGTGTACAAAACGAATGCGCGCAACATACACACGCCCGGTGATTTTGTTTCAAAAAGTCGGATGTTTTCATTCCCCATTTATCAGTTAAAATTTTGAAATATTCCTCGTAATTTATAAAGATAGTTCAATGATGTAATAAACTTACATATTTTCCCATTGTGATTGTGATTTGAGTCGAAATTACACTTATTTTTGCTGTTTGAAAAGTCTCATTTTAACTCCGAGTACGAAAAATGCTGCGCGCATGACATGTTACGTTCACGGGCCATGCGGCACGCACAGACCGGTCCATGCGTTCAAGATCCACGGCAAGAATTGTCTGCCCTGGTGACTGTGTTTAACTCGGTCTCGACGGTAGTGTAGCATAGCAGACGTCAAGAAACCATACGTCAGTCGAAAGCTTATTGAAAATGCCATTCAACCATCCACGTTCCATGATAATCGGCCTATGCGTTGCAAAGTTATGATTCTTTTTGTTTTTCCCAAAACTTTTTCGTAACGAAATACATTGAAAATAATAGTGGAACCTTGAAAATTGTAATTAGTGATATCGAAGCTTGAACTGCTTTTTTTAAAACCTTCAAAATATGATTGTATTTTAGAGTTATAGACACATTTGTGTCGCGATGGATTTTCATCATGGCGCCTTCTGTTTGACAGCGCGCGTCGTGTAAGCATCACATTTTCGTTCCCGGCACGCGATAATGTAAGCGCAACAGAAAATTATCACGTTTGAGATCGAGTGCAGCCAAAACATTGTCACGTGATGCGTATTACTGTCGCGTAAAGCATATTCTACACTGGTTCCCTTCATGGCCCGTACGGTCAGAATATATTAGTGGATACCAGTGTAAGTCCTTCGTTTTCGGGAACCGTCCAGACTCCATCGCACGTGGTGTAAACGAAATGGAACTCGGAGTGTTTTTGCTACCGCAGCACCGGCGATCATTTCACTTTTTGCCCACATCGTAGTTCCTCGATCTTAATAATCGATCTCTCCTTGTATCTCAGGTAGCATATATCTAATAACTTTGTGGCCGTTTTAGAGAGTGAAATCTGATGTTTTTAAAGTTTGTTGGGTGGCTATAGCATGTACGATTTTTGTGCACAAATGTGATGGGCACTGACATGACTGATGTAACGTTAGGCCATTGGAATTACGCAGGAAAATCATTACGCACAGCGCATACTTTTTTTTACTAAATTACTAGGCTTATGAGATTTGCACCAAAATGGGATAAAATAACCCAAATATGAGAGAAACTTCATTTTATAACCTAAATGGGATACCCAAGTTTTATATCTTTGTTTAAATTGGGGGATTTTGGGCATTGAGAATTGGACTTCGGCTTGGGCCAGTTTACACGTTTACGCATGCCAGACTGAAATTTCTCCATTTTGGCC